ACTAACTTAACATGTTTAACATAGGGACAGTCTGCAGACAGGGACAGAGAGAGTAGAGAAGCTTCTCGTCTGTCCAGGCACATGTGGAGCGCTACAGGAACAGCCCTGTGATGCATCGAAGTGTGCCGGACGAGTACAAGCCTGTCATCTTCAAGAACGGCGTGCGCAAGAACTTCCCACGACCAACTAAGAAGGTCAAAGCACCGACTGCAGGCTTCTGAGGACGCATACCGGCCCTGCATGTGCGCCACTGTACAGCCCCGACGGCTTTTGGTGTGCAGTTTGTTAGAGCCTTCCTCCCACTCCCCAGCCCCCAATCCCGTTCTCAGGAGTTTTGTACAGACAGGGCGAGCAGGCGCACTGCCGCCTCTTGTCCTGCGCTGCCTTCCGCAGCGGGCTGCCAGTGGAGAACAGGCTGTGCTGCACCGAAGCAACACAGGATGGACGCTTGTAAAGCTGCAGGCCCAGCTGAATGAGATCTTTGCATGCCACAGAAACAGGCTTCCGTCTGCTTCGCCGCCACTTTGATTCTTCTCTTTCCGGACATTTTAGAAACACCAAACCCAAAACCCTAACCCCAAACCCTAAACCCTAAACCCTAAACCCTAAACCCTAAATCCTAAATCCTAAATCCTAAACCCTAAACCCTAAACCCTAAACCCTAAACCCCAACTCCCCCAAACCCTTCGTGCTTATTGCAGGAGCTCCACGAGATGATGACCCGACTACGCCGCTTGCATTCGGTTGTATTAATGTAGGGTTCCTTTAAAGGGCTCCTTAAAGGGTTCTTTAGGGTTTAGGGTTTAGGGTTTAGGTCCTAGAATAGGGGTTTGATAGGGTTCCTTTAAAGGGCTCCTTAAAGGGTTCTATAAGGCTTAGGGTTTAGGGTTTAGGGTTTAGTAGGGTTTAGGTCCTAGAATAGGGGTTTAATAGGGTTCCTTTAAAGGGCTCCTTAAAGGGTTCTATAAGGCTTTGGGTTTAGGGTTTAGGGTTTAGGGGCCTTAAAACTTAGAGTAGGGTTCCACCCTATAAGGGCTACTACAAGGGTTGTATGAATGTAGGGGCCTTGAGGTTTAGGGTTTAGGGGCCATGGGGCCTTTATAATTGGAATTGGTTTTTTTTTGCTATAAATAAAATAAGGAGCCCCCCGCAAGACCCTATCCTAATTATTAAGGCAAGGCCCTTACATTACCCAAGTGGCTGACATGGAGAGTTCCTCGTTGAATTTCTGGTTTAGGGTTTAGGGGCAGTTAGGCGTTCCTTTGTGGGGGTCCGGCTCATCTGCAGTCCATGTCACCTTTCCCTTTCTGGAGAAGTTAGCCCTATATACCCCAAACTCCCCACCTGTAGCTTCCTTTAATATAGTTGAGCTTCTAGGCTTGACTCGGGGTTTATGGCAGCGCCCTAAACCCAAAACCCAAAACCACCTACACCCTAGGCCCTAAACCCTGAACCACAAGAGATCGTCCAGGTTTCGAGCCCCAAGCCCGAGACTTGGCAAGCCCTCCGAAACCAGAAGCCTAAATAAGTACCTATACTATTTTGGGGTTCCTTGTAATAACTATAGTATAATGGGCCCCCAAGCCCTATTCTAATTATTGAGGCCCCTAGATTAAACCCGTTCAGGGCTTAGGGGTTGGAACCAATGATCTGCTTCGGAAGTACCCAGAGAGCTTAAAACCCTTTAGCTTGGAGGCACATACGGGGTTTCTGGAAATTTGGGTGGGACCTTTTTGTTGGGATACTGTATCGCGTGAAGTATCATAGATAATGGTGTACGCGCGTCATGAAAAGCTCAAGGAAGGGGTGAGGGCCACCGGAATTGAACCATCGGAAGCGCCAGACTCCTAAGCATCCAAACCTGAAGCCCTAATCTAGAAGCCTAAATAAGTACCAATACTATTTTGGGGGCTTCTTATTATAAGTATAGTATGAAAAACTCAAAACCCGATTCTAGATATTAAGGCCCCTGCATTAACGTTCAATTTCCTCTGGTCTTCAACCCCGTACCTCTTTGTTCAATCTACGTGAATCTATGTTCCTGAAGCCGTAAACTTAACCCTAAACCCTAAGCCCTAAACCCTAAACCCTATAAGCCCTAAACCCTAAACCCTAAACCCTAAACTCTGAGCCGAAGTCCGAATGCCTAATCCTTCTATGGTCCCGACAAGCACCCCAACTGAATCCCCCAAAACAGAAAGCCCCAAACCAACTAAGCGCCGATGCTCTACAGCGTTAGGTTCTTTACAACACCACGCCCGAATCCTTTTCAAATGTTTTTTCAACACATTTCGCAAAACACAACCGCTGTAACCCCACACCGAAAAAGCTTTTTTACAGTGGCATAGGATTATCCCGAAGCCTTTCTAAGCCCTAAGCCCTAAACCCTAAGCCCAAACCGACGGCCCCGAACCCTAAACCTCAAGCCTAGACCCTAAACCCTAAGCCTTAAAAACAAAAACCTCAAGCCCTATACGCCCTAAGTCTTCAACTCCAAGCCTCAGGCCCTCAGCCCCAAAACGTTAAGCCCTCATCCCCTAAAAACAGAAGTCCCCACCCAGGGCTCCTTTAAGGGTTCCTCGAGTTATAATGAGCCCGAAGATTAGTATAGGTACTATAGGTAATTATTAAGGGCCCTACATTACATACTTTTGGGGTCCAGGTAGGCCCTAAACCACAAAAAACCTGGACCCAATGAGCCTCTAAGGGCCCCTTTAAGGACCCTCAACCCTAAGCCCTAAACCCTAAACCCTAAACCCTAAACCTCAGCCAGCAGGTCAAATACTCCAAGGTGTCCGCCATTCTCGGTGCCCCGATGCGGGGCTCGCAGGTGCGACTGCGGCCCGGGCGCACG